TACCCTTCCACACCCACTTGCGCTCGCTCCCCCCTCCACTCCACCACCTTCCCCGGATTCATCACCCACCTCTCATCCACCACCCCTTTCAATCTCCTCATCAGCCCCACCGCCTCCCCCCCAACCTCCTCCTCCAGCGCCCCTATCTTCCCAATCCCCACCCCATGCTCCCCACTCACGGTCCCCTCCATCTCCAGCGCCCTCGCCATCATCCTCTTGACGCATCTCTCCACCCCCCTCCTCTGCGCCTCACTCCGAGGATCATACAGCATCGCCACATGAAAGTTCCCGTCCCCCACATGCCCAATCACGCTCGCCCAGATGCCCAACCCACTACATTCCTCCTTGGACACCTCGATAATCTCGGTAAGCCGCGAGATCGGCACCGCCACGTCCGTCGACCAGATCTCTGTCCCCGCCGGCCGCGTGCTCACCATGGTGAACAACGCCTCCTTGCGCGCCGCCCAGATGTCGTGTTCCTCCGCCTTGGTCGCGGCAAAGTGCATGGTTATGTCGGGGGCGACGAACGGGCGGAGGGTCTCCTTTGTCCGGGCGCTGTCGACAAGGATGCCCGGGGTGGTGCCGGCGAAGCGCAGGAAGAGAGTGGGGGACTCGGCCCAGAGGCGGGAGCGGACAGCGGGGCTGCCGTAGCGGTTGAGGAGGGCCATTTGCGCGTCGTCCATGAGTTCGAGGGCGGCGAGGGGAATGCCGGAGCGGATGAGAGCCGAGGCGGCGGAGGCGGCGGCGTGGATGGTGGTGAAGGGGACGGCGGCGACGGAGGTGGCTTCGGGAACGGGGGCGAGTTTGAGGGTGACCTCAGTGATGATGCCGAGGGTGCCTTCGGCGCCGACGAAGACGGAGGTGAGGTTGTAGCCGGCCGAAGTCTTGCGGGGGCGCCGACGGGTTTTGAGGACGGTGCCGTCGGCGAGGACGACGGTGAGGTTGAGGACCCAGTCCTTCATGGTGCCGTAGCGGAAGGCGTTGGTGCCGGAGCAATTGGTGGAGACCATGCCGCCGATGGTGGCGGTTGGGGAGGGGTCGAGAGGGGCAAAGAGGCCGGATGGGGCGAGATGGGTGTTGAGCTCGACCCAGTTGACGCCGGGCTGGACGACGACGTCGAGGTCGTCGGCGTGGGTGGCGACAATGGCGTCCATGCGGGACATGTCGAGGATGATGCCGCCGTGGGGCTGGGAGAAGTTGCCCTCGACCGAGGAGCCGGCGCCGTAAGGGATCATGGGGACCCGGGAGGCATGGCAGGCCTTGGCGATGACGACGACGTCGTCGGTGAACCGGGGGTAGACGACGGCCGCCGCACGACCGGGCGAGTTGGACGTCGACAGGTCGGAGTGGCCGTATTGCTCGAGGAGGTCTTTGTTGTAGGACACGGCGTCTGGGAAGCCGAGGCGTCTTTCGATTTCCGAGGCTACCCTGAGGGTCGTGGGGATGTCGGCATATCTCGAGCGAGGATCGTTGTCCTTGGTCAGGTAGACGGACGGACCATTTGCAAGATAGAAACCCGCTCCGAGGCCGACTGCACACCCCAAGAATGCCGCCGTAAACGATGCGGTCATCCATGCCCTTGATGGTTGTGGCAGGCCCGTGGGCTGCGGCGAGGATGACAAGGAGGAAGAGGGCGAATACCAGCGTGAAGACGACGGCGTCGACGACCGATGCTCCCGTCTCGCCGATGACGATGACAACACGGTCCGGGTGCACCTCGCCAACTGTGCTCCCCGCGGCCGCGGCCAGGCTTGTGGCAGCTGTCGTGCCATCGGGCGCAGCATGACGGTGTCAATGCTGTCAAGCCGCGGCGGGCAGGTTGACGTCGTCAGGCAAAACTTTCCCTCGGGTGGAGGTTGAGATGGATTAAAGCCGGACTGTGTGCGGAGTTGCGGGAGTTGCAGCCGCGCCCGGGGGCCGCTCCGTTGGGCGCCTAGAATTTTGTGTTTACACTGTGAAACTCAGGTGGTAGGTCGTAAGTCCAGCGCGGCCGCATCAAAATCCCACGATGGCAACCCTAAAACCCAAATTGAGCACACATGCGTGCTCGTGTCGCACCGGGATGAGGTTGGCCGATAGGCTCATATATATTACCTAGCAGTAAGTTCGCCGATACAATTCCATCCCAACCATGTTGCCGGAATCTTGTGCGATGCCGGAGATGCCCCCCGAAGGAATCACCTTCGTCGTTGACAGCTAAGTTGATTCGCAAAAACATTCCTCGCCTCATCAGCGCTTACCCTGTTCATCCCTTGCCTTCTTCATTGGCTTCTGCCCTGTCACTACACGCCTAGACCCCCGTGTTAGCACGCAAAAAAAAGACAGAAACAAACAACTCACAAGACTACATAAAACCGATGCTCATTCGCCTCAAACTCTCTCCTCACCTTTCCCAAAAACTCCTTCACATTCTCTAGCTCCCACCCGACCACATTGCACATCAGCCGCAAGCTTATCGCCTCTAGCCCCTGTATCATCTGGACGGCAAACAGAATCCCCAGCTCCTTGAGCGCCCGGTCCTTAGCCCACGTCCCAAAGGGTATGTCGAACGTCTGGTTTCCCACTTTCTCGTACCGTCCCCGCCCTCACCCACCCCTCGAGCTCCTGCGCAGGGAACAGAACCCTCCCCAGCTTCTCGCCAGCGAGGACGAGGAGGTTGGTCCACTCCACAATGGCGCTGTATTGGGGGGGCGAGGGTCGGCGCGGCGGATGACGGGGTCGAAGTTTTGGAGTTCGAGCCAGCCTCCGGGTTGGGTGTTTCTGCGGCGGGTTGAGTGAGCGGAAGTAGGGAGGTGGAATGGACAAATAGAATCACGCAACTCGTAGGCGGACTGGACCAACCCGGGCCAGTCCTTGATGGATGTCACCAGACATCGGCCAAAGATGAAGTCAAACGGGGCGCCGTAGGCCCATGGGCTTTCAAGATCGTCTACTTTGAACTTGAGATGGACGGAACCCTGGGAGTTTAGAGTTTGATACCAAGGCAACGAGATTGTCTCGGACGGACGAGACGAGCTTACCAGTATGGCTGGATGGGACTGAGGTCGTTTCCAATGACCTGTGTCTCCCGTCAGCGCTCCGCACCCCAGCCATGTTTGTCAGGTGGAAGAGCAAAGACTGACCTCGCCATTGGGAAAGCTATTCGCAGCTTCCATCGCCCCTGTATTTTTGGTCAGCCCATGAGTCTCTCTCGACGGTAGTACTCCTCGACGCACAAATACTAGTCCTAGTCCCCATGTCTAGAATTCTGGATATCCTACTCCCATCCACCGGCGCGAGAAACATCTTGTTTCCTATCCTCTTAGTCATAACCTTATGGAGGAGGTCGAGGCGGATCATTTCTTCCTCGTCGTTGGCTAGCATGTAGTCTGTGGTTGTCAGCGATGCCACTACTCCGTCCCAGACGGGAGGGACATACTCCCTGCCCGAAAGGCGTGATAGCGCCAGCCACGCTCAAAGGGATAGTCTAGTACCGATGCTCGCCGGGAACTTGTGTATCTGGAACTGGTTCAAAGGCCTTTAGCATCGATCCTCCCCGGGAAAAAGGGGGGTATTACACGCCCTCGTCGATGCCAGAGTCTGTGTTGTAATCGTCGTCGTCGTGCTGGATTCCGGTGAGTTCGCCATCATCCTCGCATCTTGCCAGGCTCCGTGTCGTGAGAACAGAGGGAAACCAACCGCGTCAGGTTCGACGCGCGAAGGGTGGAGTACCCCTTGAACCTGGCTCCCCTCGACGAACCGGCGGCTAGCGCCGTCGTCCGGCAAGGGCTGCTGCTTGACTCCCGTCTTCATGTCGTCAGTCTTTGTCGTTGTCCTTATTCGTCGCGGTCATGAAATTCTTCAAAACACCCAAAGCCGTGAGAGTCCAAGAGTGTAGGTACGGTGACGCTCCCGGTCCGAAACCCGGGGGACCGCCCCCTTTCTATGGGCAACAGCCCAACTCACAGCACCCACCCTGCATGTGACCGACTTCCCCAGAGAGCCAGAAACCAACACGCATGAAGGGAGGGACGCGGAAACCCCAAGAAAAAAACACCGCACCCCGATGCTCACCCACCACAGTACCCAGACTGCCGGGAACGGAGGCCACGAGTCGACCAAAGAAGGCGGGGGGATCGAGACGGGCAAAAGTCTGGGCGACCACCACCGACAGTGCGCACCCTGCACATACTGCCCGGCTTGCCTCTCGTAGAGGGGTGTGGCGTCGGGTCGCGCCCTGCGACTGGGCAGCATCTCTAAATCGCTGGGAGACCATGCGCGCGCCTTGGGGTCACAGGCTGCTGTGGGTGCTGAACCCCTCTCGTCCGCTAGGTGTTCTGGTTTGGGACGGCGGAGTGGGAGGAGGTCGAGCTGGTGGTCCCGGCAAGAGGTGGGACCGTCTTCGGGCCGAGGGGCCAGGGGGGGCATTTGGGAAGGGCATTCGGTGCCAGGGCCGATACTGTTGGTCTGCGAAGACAGTGGATTGAGCTGCCCCGTGGTCGATGTTGGTGGTTTTATTTGGTTATATGGGGATGACAGGCCAACAAACTTGGGCAGCATAAGCAAGCCTATCCGGCCGGCAGTCCAGGCGGAGAGGGACCGAGCCCCGGCCGGAAACTGCTCCGCGTACCGTGTTTAGTTCCTTCTTGACGGTGTCTGCTGCCAGTTTGCACCCGCCAGCCAGACTGCCGCAAGATCGACTGCCTTGTCCATCCATGTCCCCCAAGCTCTTCCCAGTGATTCAGAATTCTCTGTCAAACTCTCTGCCGTGCCGCCGGCCAGCACGCCGGGTTCATCTCTCTCTTGCCCCGACGGATTTTGCTCCGGGAAGAATCAGCACCTTCCATGCCTAGTCAGGGCTGCTTTGAATTCGATTTCGGAATCCCTTCCCTTCGGGGTCATCGTCAGAGGAACAAGCCTTTCGTTCAACTCGACGTACTGCCGTCACGCTACCAGATCTCTCCTTGCGAGGTGGCAAAAAGAAAGTAAAAAATACCACACCACACTTTCGACGAGAATTAAGCCCGGCGTGGGGGTCGAACCCACCTTAAAATGACCACTGTTCACCATGTCAGAGACCGGAAGACGATTAAGAGTCTCACGATCTACCGATTGAGCTAGCCAGGCTAGTTCTGTGTGGTGGGTATTTGGTGAGAGACTGAGGTGGGGAAGGGAGGCTATCATGGAAAACTCAAGTGGTGAGCTGGTGGGGAGTGCTTAGTTCTGACTCGTGCTGAACTGGATGATCCCTTAGTGACGGGGAGAGCTGTGAGTCGGCGGAGATCTGTCAATCGACAGGAACACTGACAGAAGGCTGGCGTCGAGGTTGGCATGTGTGTCGTCCATGATGTTAAAGCTTGTTGTTGTGGTTCGAGCGTTACCGGAGAAGTGGAAATACCTAAAGGCGTCTGGATCCAACGGCCGACCGTCTGATGGGCGTTTGCTCCAGCGGGGGCACACCATGACGCTCACCTAAATTTGGGCTGGATGGACCTGACATTCAGGGCCCCCTCCCCTGTATTTCAGGTCATGTCTGTCAGGTCCTCGGGCCACCCGGGCCCCGCCAGTCCCGTCCATCACCATCACCGCTCCAAGGCACAGCAAGGCAGAAGAGGCTCCTACGGTTTCAATGTTCATGCATTACTTCAACGAGACCAACCCATACCTTTGATCCAACCAAGCTATGACAGTCCAGAAAGCTGAAGCTGATGGTCATGAGCTCCCCAATATCCAATGCGCCGTCTGTCTAGATATGTGACTTCGCTGAAACAAGCTCGACTGACATGAAAGAAAAAAATGGAAAATATGTACCGGAAGCTATGCTTCGATGTAGCGATATCCGACGACCATATCGTCATCGTACAAGTCGATACTGTCGTGCTGTCTGTTCGCAACCCACCTTCCCCCCCTGCCCGTCTCCATACCTCTACATGGTCGGGTGTCAGCCATGTGCCGTCGAACTGCGTCTGAACTCGGGTATCCAATGTCATCCCAGGCATTCAAGGCATCCAAAAACCAAATGGACGCCGCTCTGCTTTCACTCCCATCACCACCAACTCTTCTCCTTCTCCTCCACTTCGGGCCAATAAATCTTGGTGCACTCGCCCTGCTTGCTAATCCACTCGGCAATCTTCTCCACGTCCCAACCACTGATCACGCGCTTCGCCCCATCTTTGACCTTGACCGGGTGCCCGAGGCTGATGCCGCGGCGCGTGTAGCAGATGCCGTCCGTGTACTTCCACTGGAAGCAGTCGTCGGCCTTCAAGCTGTTGCACGCCGCCTGGCAGTTCTCGACCGACAAGTGGGCCAGCCGCTCCTGATCGTTGTAGTCCTCGTGCTTCTTCATGCGGTTAATCTGCCAGTCCTCCCACGTGCGGCTCGTGTCGTTGACGTTGAAGTACATGGTATCCTCGGACAGGTTGTCCCAGTCCTCCATCTTGGAGCGCATGCGCGGCGCGACAAAGTGGGTGAAGATGTCCTTGGCCAGCAGGGGGCGCGGCTTCTCGACGCCCGCCTTGCGCTGGTTGACGTAAAAGTCGTGCTCAAACTTCCAGAACGTGTCAATCTCCTCGCTGTTGATGTGGTGCAGCGTCGAGATGACGTGGCACCAGTTGAAGCCGCCAAAGGGCATCGTCGTGGGCTTGTCGCCGTTGATCATGGGGTACTGGTGAACACAAAGTTAGAGAAGCTATTCCAGGGCCCGACAGGGAGTCGAGATCTCCGCCCCCGGCAATATGAGGCGCGGGAAGGGGTATAAGACGGGAGGGCCCGTGACGGGATGCATCACCCGGATAAACTCACCACCTGCTCCACCTCGACGCCCGCCAACTCCTTCAACGCCACCGAAAACACAAAGTCGCCGCAGCACTCATGGTGTGCGCGGCGGTCGTACATGGCACCGACGTCCGGGTTCTTGGTGACCAGCTCCTTCATGGCGCCCTGACTGACGACGTAGCCCGACCCGCCGTGGGCAAAGGGAGCGTCGCCGAGCATGGACACGGAGCCCAGGTAGCGCTTGTGGCTCGGGTTCAAGGTCGCCAGCCACTGGACCATGCTCGGCCACATGACGTACGTGTCGGCGTCGACAAACACGTACCAGTCAAAGCCGGGCTTCATCTGGTACGTCTTCTCGGCCATGTGCACGTTCTTGTACTTGTCAAGCTGCCAGCCCTCGGCGGCCGGGTCGCCCACCTTGTTGCAACTGGTGATGTCGATGAGGCACGCCTTTTGCCGCCGGTACAGGTCAAAGTCGCTGTTGCCCTCCATGACGGACGCCGTCACGTTGACGAGGCTGTCCATGATGTGGTAGCCGGCCACGTCCTGCTCCATGTCGCTGAAGATGAGGAAGTTGGGCAGGCACCGAAGCAGTGTCATGAGCTGGGTGGGAACGCGCGCGAACGCCTCGGAGGCGCCCGTCTTCATGATGAGCAGGATGTTGCCGGCGTCGACGCCGGGGAAGGCATCGCAGACGTCGCTCGACGCGTAGGGGTTGACGGGCTTGCCGGCGTCGGTGGGCACACTGCTCGGGGTGGCAGTCGCGGTCGCGATGTCGTGCGCGTGGCCGCCAGTCGTAGCTGTCGGTTGGACGGGGATGTCGACGCGGACGACGGTCATGTTGGGGCCGGTGCCGTCTGGGCCGGGGGCGCCATTGGAGGCGGGATGTGGCGCGTGCGGGTCGGTGTTTGGAGAAGTGTAGGCAGACCAGTCGGCGCGGTTTGAGGCGGCGAGGAGGAAGAGGGTGGTGGCGGCGGCGGCGGCGACGACCACGAGGGTTTTCCTCGAGAGGGCGGGCATCATGTCTGTCCAGCCTCGACGGCGCGTGTCGCTTCGGGCGCGGATGGGGAGAATCATCGAGTTGCCAGACGCAGCATCACTCGTGGCCGAGTCTTCGGTGGTGATGATGGTGACGGGATACTCGGTAGTCGGTAGAGGAGATGGTCGGTGAGCTTCGAGAAGGGACAGCCTGGAGGTTTCCGCTCCCTTGCCCCCAGCGCCCCTGAGGATGACCCGACCCTGCGGGGGCTGAGACAAAATGGAACCGGGGGCCTCAGGGGGGGATCGCCCGCGGCTCCCGCCTGGTCCCCGGCACGGATGGCGGCTTGATCAAAAGCGGCCAGGGGTCCAATACGGGCAAGATGCAACCGAGCCCGAACATTGGACGAGAGGTGTGCGCGTCGGGGCAGCCAGCCGCTTTTTTTTTGTCCAAGTTTGACAAATGCAGTGGAACGACGCTCAACTCGAGCCCGATCCCGTTTGCCTCAGCCCTGAAAAAGGACCGGCTCTCGGAGGGGAATGGCCCCAATTGCAACTTCAGCACGGCCATAGGAATCCAAAATGTCTCCTCTGCAAGGCAATCTTTGGTAGAGTTCATTCTACAAAAAATGACCTTGCCAGCTTGCGCATCTTCGTTTCGCCAAGCCTACTTTTCTGGCAGGGCAGGTAGCCAACCAGGTCCAGTGTCCGCGGCGCACGGGGCTTTTCGCGACAGGGAGGAATGGCACACCTTTTTTGCTTCATGCGAGGCCCTTCCGTGAGGCCCATGCTCAATCTCCCCACCAAACTCCAACGTTCGTCTTAGGTCTGGACTCCGGACTGCTTCCGGCGCTTCCAGAACCCATCTTGGAAGCCATTGGCAATTTAACATGTTCTGAAAATAGACCCAACATTCGCCATCATCGACCTGGCAGCATCAAACCCGACCAGAACCTGTCGAACATCCCTCTGGTTCCCTTGCTTCCGAGCCCCTCCTCCCCCCCACTGGACAACCTAGGCAACGACCATCCCAACATCAACACAAAGATCAACTCCATCACCGCGCTGCGATCGCTGCCGGCCAGCAAGATTTCTCCCAACTCGGTCTCTACCCACCTCCAGCGACTTGAGACGTCTGCCAGTCAGCATCCGCATCGATGACGGAATGCCCCGTTCCGCTCACTTCGAAACGGCTCCGCTGCCACCGTCCGCGGTCTGCCGTGCCGGCGCTTCCGGTAGAGCGGCGTCTAGTTCATCCCAGGTCGCAACATCACCGTCCGTCAGAGCTTAAATCCGTCTTCCGGAACGTTTTAATCTTTAGTTGCTCCCACAACAACACTCGACACATCTCCGCCATGGTGCAACGCAGCGCCGCAGCATCCCGCTCGCGTGCCACCGCAGGCAAGGTACAAACACGCATCTGTATTCCTTACATTGCCTCGCTTGCTTGGCCTGTCCTGTCTGTCATGTCTTGCCTGCCTGTCTTCCTCAGCGACGATGACGTCTCATGGTAATCTCATCTCGACACGCCACTTTGTGCCCCATTATCTTGGAGTCTTCCGCGTCATCGCCTCCACCTTTGCTCAAGTTAGACCCATCTCATGAGGGAACGATATTCTCTTGTCGTGAAAACACCCTGTTGAAGACCGACGACTTCTTCTTGGCCAAAACGGTCATGGCGTAAGGAGTGAACAGAAATACTTTGCCTGGGCATACCATATGGCAGCGTGAGTTCGAGGTTACAGCATCACTCGGGAGTCAGGACCTACATGACCATGAAGACCACCCAGCACATGAGCTGACTGCGTAGGTAGCATTACTTTATACTACGAATATAAAAGGTATCCTAAACACTAAAACGACAAAAAAATCACCCGCCCCATATCGAGACGCCTCAAACACCAACCCACTGTCATATGACATCACCAACGGAAAGCTATGCCGCTACACCCTACAACCCCGTATTCATAACATACCACAGCGCCGACCCGCCCGCCAGCGTAAAGGCCGTCAGGATGCCCGCGCCCGCCTTGTCTGCCGCTGTGATGGGCGGCAGCGGGTCGGGATTGAACCCGCCACGCTCGCCGGCGTTGACGTCGCCCTTGCTGATGCCGCCGGAGAGCTCCGTCGCCGGGGGATCCGCCTCCTCGATCAGCAGGCTCGACACGGCCGCCAGCACGTCCATCTGCTCGCCCGCGCCCGACGTCTTGTCCACCGCCACGTCCACGTAGGCGCCGGTGGTCCAGTAGAAGCCGCACTGGCGCCCCGACGCGCCGCCCGTGCACTGCTTGACGGCGGCTTCCGTCGAGGTGCGGAGCATGGGCAGCAGCGCCGGCTTGGTATATGGCGCGAGCTGCGTGACCACCGCCAGCCAG